GGCTATCTGCCTTATACCAAGGTCCTTCTCGGTCCTTCTTGGCCAGTTGTCTTTTGACTGGCATCAGCACTCCAAGGTCTCCAGCAGAGGTCTTTCCTAGCCTTTGACCGGGTGCCTGGAATTGTTATCTGTGTCACGGCAGGACCAGGGGGCGTGATGCAAGCAAGCAAAAGTCCAGAAGCAGTCCGAGGTCAAGCCGAGCAAATCAGGCAGTGAGGTTCAAACAGGTTTAAATCACAGTCCAAAAGCAGGGTCAGACATACCAAAGTTTCAAGTCCATAAATCACAACGATACCAGAGGAGTCAGAGATGAACGCAGAGTCAACGAAGCCGAGGGTCAAAAGCCGAGGATCAAGCCGATAATAATTCCACAAGGTCTGGAGCAGAGATGCAAGGATTCAGGTCCTGACAAACGATGTTTGCCAGCACAAATGACTGCCAGCAACAGACTTGCAGATATACAGTGCTAGCTAATCAACTCATTAGCTAGCCGGGAGCGAGGTCAGGATCCTGTCAATATTCAGGGCTAAGAGATCTTCTGGCACGCATGCGTGCATTCTGTCTTCGCTCTCTCAGCTGCTGTCTCCGTACATTCCCCTGGTTACAGGTGGTGGTGAGTCTGACGACGAATTACTGGGATGCAGCAGAGACTGATCCCTTGCAGGTGTTCCCTGGGAGGCTCTATCCTCCTCACCACTTAGATAGCTTTCAGCTACAGGATGCCTCTCTGCTGCAGTATTGTCCTCAGGAGCCTGTAAGTCCACAGGCTCCTGGCTGGCAGGTGCCTCCTCAGGGGCATCAGCAAGGGCAGGCATGACATCAGCAGGGGCAGGCATGACAATCTGGGGCCATTTGCATGTGATCTATCCCTTCAATAACGGTGAACACCCCCTTCCCCTGTCAAAGGGCCTGGAACCCCAGCCAGAGAAGATCTATGATATGCCTCCCTAGAACGAGTCAGATGGGAGGGAAAGGCATTAAGTGCTTTGGATCGCCAAGCCATACACAGTAGACAGAGGGGAATAATGAAAAATCTTCTTCTCCACTCCTCTCTCACTCGCCCAGTGTGGTCAAACCACAATGATGGTAGTCAACATAAGCGCCATTCTTTGCTTGGCACGTTATCGATATTGGGGTTGATAGTGGGGAGCTCAGTCCATGAACTGCACCACATAGGCTGTGCACAACAGATTGTTTCTGTAGAACAAAAGTAGATTTCCTTTCCCTTCTCTTAATTTTGATATAGTGTGCTGAATCACCCTTTCCATATACCTGAATGCAATTGCTTCTCCCATTCCACCTGATTATTCTGGATTGCAATGTATGGTTGCCACCTCTAGGTTGGGAAATTCCTGGAGATTTTGGAGGTGGAGCCTAGGAAGGGGGAGGGGAGGGATCTCAGCAGGATACAATGCCATAGAGTCCATCCTCCAAAGCAGCCATTTTCTCCGGGGGAAGTGATCTCTGCAGTCTGGAAATCAGTTGTAATTCCAGGAGATCTCCAGGCCTTACCTGGAGGCTGGCAACTCTGATAGCAAGCAGCTTCAACTATACTAAATCTCAATTCTTATAGAAATGTTTTACAAAATATCCATGAATGTGCTGGAGAAAAGGGGTGCACATATTGCTCAAAAGCAAATTAATTTTAAATAGTGGTACCGGGTAGCATTTTAAAGGGCTACATGGTGATAGAGAAACCGCTGGTCGTTTAAAATTTAAAAATCCACAAACTGGTCTGAAGCTGAAAGTGGACTATCCAGCTCAACGGCATCAGTATTAAGGGCATTTGTTTTTAAAAAGTTGGATTATAATAGTGGCTACTGATTTTATTTCTTTAAAACATTTCTATGCCAGCTTTCCACTCAAATAGGGTTCCCGTGGCAGATGTATGCATTCTTTGCTACACTTGTAAAAGAGAAGAAAAACTTTTAAAATTGTTCTATATACTGGTGTGTTTGTGTTACTGATCACCAGTTACAAAAAGGACAGTCACCAACACGCACTTTGTGAGAGCCATACATGCATCTTTTGGCAAACTTGCCGATTGAACTGCTAGGAGGTACCTTTGGCTTTTCCCAGGTACAGAAAATGGAGAAACGGGTTAGACTGGAAAACGGACATGTGCTACAACCATGTGCTAAGACAGCTCATTATCTACAGATCTATTAAAAGTTGTTGCTCATACGCAGCCATAACTCCCCACTTTTGCTAGCCCACGTATAAAACACTGATCGGTTTGAACCGTGTAACTCACCCTGGTACCTGTTTGAGCGTGCTGTGCTTACTCTACTGGGAAGAATTTGGGTACAATTGTTCAAATTTGGCATCATTTCTTCCTTGAAATGAAGTGTGTGTGTGGGAGGGGGAGGAAATAAACCACATAGTGGCATGGATAAGTTTGAAGTGCTGTCAAGTTGCAGCTAACGTCTGGTAATCCCGTACGGTTTTCCAAGCCGAGAGATGAACAGAGGTGGTTTGCCATTGCCTGCCTCCATGTAGAAACCCTGGACATCCTTAAAAGCCTCCCATCCAAGTACCAAACAGAGCTGACTGACTCTGCTTAACTTCCAGGATCTGAGGAGCTCAGGCTAGCCTGGGCAGGCCCATAGCCAGAATTTTTTTTGTCTGGGGGGGGGGGGTTTAAATTTCTTGGGGAGCACCTAATTGATTTAATAAAAGTTAGTTAGATTAAGTGCCCCGCCACTTTTCGCCCAGTCGCACATGATCTCCTCCTCTTCCCCAGCCTGGACCCCTACCCCCGGCTGAGTCACGCAGGGCAGGCAGGCGGGAAGGGAAGGTGGTGGAGGAGCGCACCGGTGCGCTCGCCCACTGGGAGAGCCCCCAGCCAGCCAGCCACTGCTCTCCCTTTTACAGGAGCTGGGTGGGGAGGGAAGGCAGCCTCCGCTCTCCTCCTGGGCTATCCGGGGCGGGGCAGGGAATAAAGCCAGAAGGAAAATGAAATAATCTGGAAATGTTTCTACAGAGGTGGCGAGGTACATAAGGTGCATGAAGGGAAATGTATACCTCATCTGATCCGGACACAGGTTCACACAGGTCTGAACCTGTGCCCAAAACTGCAGTCCTGTTGCACTCCATTTCCTTTGGAATGTGTGACACATCAGCAGTCATTAAGGGCATTTTTAATTAGTTGCATGACAATAGGGGATTGGTACACATTGATTAGGAGCTGCGGTGGCTCAATTAGTCATGCTGGCCACATGACCACGGAAGCGTCTTCGGACAGCGCTGGCTCTTCGGCTTTGAAACGGAGATGAGCACCGCAACCCTAGAGTCAGACTCGACTGGCTTTCGAGCAAGGGAACCTTTACCTTTACCTTTTTACACACTGACTGCACTGGCCTTCTGACGTGTCCATACATATGCGACCACACTTGGAAAAGCATGGGCAAGTCCCTTAATACCTAGGCATGGCCTTGTCTCCAATGTGATCTGGCACCAGGGCAATATACACCAGGGCATGATGATGTATACAAGCAAACAGCTTCTTAAATATCAGTGGTGCTTGGTATAAGCATCAACATTAGGTGACTACTTGTGACTACAGACACTTAAATTTTTTTTTAAATGTACTTTTTATATCTCACCTTTCTTCTCCTCTTCTCCAGTTTATCCTCACAACAATCCTGAGAGGTAGGTTATACTACTAACAATTATTATTGTATGGCATTGTGTGTAGTATAGCCAGGAGATCCTAAGGTTGTCTGGCAGCCTGAAGTTCTAGCTTTTTTAGCACTATGCACCACTAGGTGGTGAGCTAGACTTATTTTGGGGGGCTGAGGGAGCTCTGAAAGAACTGTGACTGACCCAAGGTCACCCAGATGGCTTCATCTGGAGGAGTGCAAAATCAAGCCTGGTTCTCCATATTAGAGTCCACCATCGCTTTTAGCCATCTCATAAATTAGACTGAGTGTGTGTGACTGGCCCAAGGTCACTTTGCAAGCTCCCATAGCAGAGTAGGGATTTGAACTTGCGTCCCCAGATCCTAGTCCAATACTTTAACCGCTATACCACAAACAAGCCTAGAATTGATAAAAAATGTATACCTGAAAATATGAAAATAATAAGAACAGAGACTACACTTGATGTTTGCCAAAAGGCCGAGAAATAATCCAGTGTATGTGCATATTTCTCCGTGGACCTCTTTACAAATCTGGTACCAAAAGGAGACTTATCGAGAGGTGGGGCTCACTGGCGATGTCACAGGGGCTATGCTCTAGCATTAACTATAGAGTTTGGGGCAAATGCTAGAGCATCAGCCAATGGGATGATATCGCATCTGGGTTCTACAGGAAGTGACATCATGGAGTTGGTGCAATAATAATCTCCCCTCCCCCTGCCCAGCTGAGTGGCCATGGGCAGAGCCGGGCATGTATGTGTGTTCTGCTGAAGAGGGAGACCTGGCCTCCCCATTTTCCAGTCCTGTATTATGGATCCCCTAAAGATACCCACCATTTCCCCAATAACAGCCAAACTTAACTCTTGGTGTCAACACATCCAGTTATCAATTTCTAGAGAAAGTTAATTCATCCGAGTTAGCTGCTTCTGCCATCTTTCTCCTTTTTTTTTAATCATTGCAACAAGTCCAGTGCCATCCTAAGAAGAGTTACCCCCCCCCCTTCTGCGCCCATTCAAAAGCCACCCCTCTGCTTACGATGGCACTGCTAGTTTCTGGAACTGGTGCAGGGTAGCAGCTAAGAAAACAAGTTGGGGAATTAGAAGTCCCTCTTTTGGATCTCACCACTTAGGCCGCTCTCTGTCTTAGCCTCGGCCACTCATCTGTGGAGTGAGGATTACAATACGTGGTTGTTAGAAGGACCACGGCAAGATGATGTCCTCTAGAAACGCTACGGTTATTGTTGTCCTGGGATTAGCCCCAACTGGCCACCAAGAGAAGCATCAGCTCACTGAGAATTCAGATGGACAGAACTCCACAAACAGTCGAGCACAGAAGACTGGAATAAACAAAAACCCGGAATTACCTGTTCGCATATTATTCTGGCAACAACTTGTGATTCTTGGCCACAGGCTATTCTTCGGAAATTGCCCTGAAGACAAAGACACCTTAATTTAATCCAAACGTTTTCTGTCTGATTAAACTATTTGGGTTGTTTTCAGCTACGTGTCAAAACGAAAACCACTGGCCTCTCCGCAAATATCTGGGACCCTCTATGTAAACTCAATTAATTTTAAAGCTTAACAGCAAACATTCCTACATACTGTAAAAGTCAGTAGTCTTTGCAGACCCAGGGATATTCATTAAAATATTCATCTGATATTTTCTTTCAGTCAGAACATGAACATATGCAGCTGCCTTACACTGAATCAGACCATCAGTCCATCATAGTCAGGATTGTCTACTCAGACCGGCAGCGGCTCTCCAGGATCTCAGGTGGAGGTCTTTCCCATCACCTCCTGCCTGGTCCTTTTTAACCAGAGATGCCGGGGATTGAACCTGGGTCCTTCTGCATGCCAAGCAGAGGCTCTACCACTGAGCCACAGCGCCTTTCACTGTGCTTCCTCTGTTCCAGCAAAATTACTATATTTCAGAATACTGCCTGGGAGAATATGTAGACATCCCAGAACTGCAAGAAAGAGCCTTTAGGAAATTAGCTTAATGAAACTTACTCTTAACCTGTGGATGGTATTCAGTAAACCTCTGCAATACCAGTGCCAGGAGGCAACATCAGGGGAAGGCCGTGGCCTCTATGCCATGTTGTTGGACCTTCAGAGGAACTTTTTGGCCACTGTGTGAGACAGGATGCTGGACTGGATGGACCAGTGGTCTGATTCAGCAAGCCTCTTCTTACGTTCTTATGATGCGGCATATTTAAGCTTCTCCTGCACCTGATTAAATACAAGTTATATACTAAATTGGAATTGTGAATACATTCAGGCCCGCAGTGGAACTGGCTGTCTGCTGCTTCTTCTTCCAGTTCTGCTGCTGCTTCGTCATCGTAGGTTTGCAGCTTACAGATACACACCTGAACAGCATACTCAAGATGGCAACAGCACAGACATTTTGATGCAATCATTCAGAGCAAGAGGTGTCAGTTATCAGACACTGTTAAATAAACAAAATATTGCAAGAGTGCTAATGTCTTTAGCATGTTTTAATTTTAAGTTTAAAAAATCTTTGTGTTTGTGTCCTTTATAAAGTTTATATCTCCACTACCTGGCATTACATTTTATGACACACATGGCCCAGCCCAACAAGCTCTCATTCATGTCAGTTCCGGCCCTCACAACAAATGAGTTCGACACCCCTGCCATAGAGTCTACCTGCCACAGCTACCATTTTCTCCAGGGAAATTGATCTCTGTAGTCTGTAGATCGGCTGGAATTCTAGGCCCTATTTAGAGGCTGGCAAGTGGCAACCCCAAGCTGGTGTGTCATTGGAGCTGGCACTGTTCAACACGGTCTGATGAAATCCTGTGCAATTTGCTGGCAACGCTACAAAAAGGAAGAAAAACTTTCCATCTTTAACATACTTTAACTCTTACCATGCATCACCCTGAAGTCGGTGATGTCATTATATGAACGATGCATGCAAATATTTTACAGAAATCACAATTTGGCACCAATGGCCTCTTTATTTACAGTTGAATTATCTGGCCAGGAGAACGTCCATTTACGGAAACGCAGGATCAAAAAGGACTGACCTCCCAGAGGTGAAGCAGAAAAAAAGACCATGGGGGGGGGGAGTTATAGGAATGGTGCCCCATGATGTCTACCTTCAGTTTTATTTAGGACTGCATTTGATTAATTTAGTTTTTATTGGCAGTCCGGATTAGAGTTTTTAAATTGTTGACTTTTAATGGATTTTTATAATCGTTGTTTTTATTGTGTGTGTCCTTATAATGTTTCATTTATATTGTAAGTTCTGCAAGGAAAAAGGGAGCTAATAAATGTTCAAAAATAAAATAATATACAAATATGACTTAGAGTAGTTTTGTGTTATGTTTTATTCTTTATTTATTTGAAACATTTATTTAGCTGCCGTTCTGCCTTATTGGAACTCAAGGCAGCTTACAGTAACAACAAAACACAATAAAATACAGAAAACTGCTAATTTAATATCAAGAGTTCAAAAGTGCCGGTAGGCAGAAGAACTGAAATTAATCGAATGCCATCCTAAATAAATGGTTTGGTTTGCTTATGGATTAAAATTATATATCTGTGGGACTCTTAGACACTTTTGTGCACACAGGTCCCTCTTGCAAAGTTGTATGTGTATGGAGCAAACTCTTTTTGGTGCGTGTGTGTGTATTTAATATCATCAGCTTCGTTGAGCTCTTTTTGTGAAGGGGGTGCAAATTCCCAGGAGCTGCTCACAAGTTATCTTAAGTACAGGTAATCTTGTCTCAGAGAGTTGCTGTCCTGTGAATCCTTGGAAAGCAGCTCCCACTTTCAGCTAAAGCAACTTGGCCCTTACAAGTGCAACTTCCGGTGTGTGTATACCAGCTCCCATCTATTTTTAGTCTGTACACTGCAGGTCAGCCACTGGTTAAATCAGTCTCAACTGACCCACGACCTTTGGTAAACCCATAATACAGCCTAGCCCTAAAGGACCTTTGCAGAGGCGATAGCAGCCAAAGGGTGCCAAGGTCTCATACGCACCATGCAAGCGGCTGCTTACCAGCAACCAGGGCGGCCTGTGAATAGTTAGGAAACTACGATTTCTGCAACCGGGATGCATTAATGTGGTATAGGACCTCCAGCGGAAAGCACCACGGGCTGATGGGAGGCTCCATGCTTAGTTGAACAGAGGGGTCGGCTGAAGTTAAGGATGCCAATCCCCAGGTGGGAGCAGGGGAATCCCCCAATTTTTGGGGCTCCCCCCAGATGCCGGTGGGGGGGGGGAGCCCCGGCCCAACAGTCATTCGCAGCCTCGTTTGAAAAAAGTAGGGGTCGTGCATACCTGCCCTGCAAGCCATGAATTTGCGGCCTGCAGGGCAGATGAGGGCGACACCCGCTTTCCCCCCAACCATTTAAATCCCCCTGGCAGGGAGAAGATGGGACCGTGCAACCCTAGCTGCAGTCCACCGTGCTCCCATGATTAACGCCTGCAGGATACCAGACTACTGGAAGTATCGAAGGGGAGGGGCTGATGACAGCAGTCCCGCAGGGAGTTTGCTGTGAGTTTATTTCTTTTTTAAAAATGTTGCTGACTTCATTCATACCCCGCCTTTCTCTCCAACGGGGACCCAAAGCGGCTTGCATCACTCTCCTCTCCTCCGTTTTATCCTCACAACGACCCTGTGAGGTAGGTGGGGCTGAGAGAGGGCGACTGGCCCAAGGTCACTCAGCACACTTCCATGGTGGAGTGGGGATTTGAACCTGCGTCTCCCAGATCCTGATTTAACCACTATCCCATGCTGGCTTGCCACACCATCTCCACATTGACCGTCTCTCCTCCATTTACTGTCTTCAGTTCACTGTCTCCACAGCGTACCTCTTGACCACCCGAGTCCCCTGTGGAGATCATAATCTGGACATCCGTGTGTGCCCGTTCGCTGCTTCAAGCAAATATTCTGATAATGGTATCAATAAGGACGGAGTGGGAAACTATTTTACTAGGGGGTTGTGGGAAGAACAAGAACAAATCAAGTCAGCTGTTCATTCCCACAACATACTAAACTTTGGGCACGATGCCTATCAAGAGAAAACTGATTCCTCCCCCTTAGAAATAATCTTTCAAACTCTTAATCGATTTGCCTCCCCACTGGTATATTGCATGACTTAAGAAATAAACAGACAAATAAGAAAAGCCTTCTGTAAAGCTCAGTGCCCATTCAGTTATTGTTATATTGAGTTTCTTACTGAAATGACTAGTCCTGTCATCAGCTAACCAACATTTTGCATTATGTGTATTACTAAACTACACATTTCCAAAGTTACTTCCTTTCATTATTCTAAAATTTTGATTTCATATTTGTGAAGTAATTCTGCCAAGAGTATTTAGGGCGTATAGCCTTTTAACGGCAGAAAATTGCACCTTGTCTCTATCCTGACACTAGATCTATCCGACACAGACCTTTTGTGACTGAAAGAGGGTGCATTGTTACATCTGGCTTTTCCCAAATTCCCACTGGAATACTTCTACCCAGACCACCTGTCGGTGGCTGCCAGACGGAAATGCCAGAATCAACTTTCCTATAGCATCCTGTTTCAAAAAGCCCAAAAAAGATTCGTACTTACTGTATATTTATAACCAGTCAATGAGTTTGTTGCAAGGAGGCGTCTCCTCCTTTACTGTGTCCTCTTCCTGCAACAGAAATGTGAAATTACGTGAGGACTTCTCTATGCCTCCTTTCCACACCTGCGGGCTCTATCAGCTTTAAGCATGCATAAGGAAATAAAGCTGGAGGAAAAGTGAGTGGCATCAATTTTTTTTTTTTTAAAGCGAACTGAAAGTGGCTTACCTGAATGCTAAAATCCCAAACTACTTGCACAAAATTAAAAAAAAAGAAGCCACACCATGCAGTTAAGGTAGTCCTGTGTGTTCAGTAGCAAAAGTTCTGATATTATGTACTGGATCCTTAGAGCCGAGGATTTATAGGACTGCACAGAGCAGCCTGGGTGAGGTTCAGACACAGACAAAGGTGTAAGCAGAGGCCAAGTATGGGCCAGGAGAACCGCCCTTTCTCACAGAAAGTCACTGATGTAACTCTTAACAGGGCTTTGATCATTACGCAAAAATGCACTTCAGTGACATTTCGCTGAACTTTAGAGGCAGCTCCCAAATAGCAACATAAACAGAAGTAGTCCAGCTCCGTGGTTACAAACGGAAATATAATACATGCAGGAATTTTTTTTTGAGCTGTTAATAGTTCATATTTTCTCTTCTTAACAAAAGAGTTCCGAGCTACCATGAAATAACCCTGAAGTTCTCTTGCCGGACTACCATGACCTACATTTCAAATCAGCTCCTTCACCAGCCTCGATTAGATCTATGTACATACACCTATATTTCAAATTCATTCCTGTAAGTGATGTGATAAGATCTATGCAATTGCCCTTAGGACAACTTGTTGCTTAAATATTATATACACACATATATACACACACACACACACACACACACACACATCAGTTTGACCCAGACACCTGAGACAGTTTTCAGAGAAGGTATATGCAAATTCTGAGGCACACGTTTTTTAAATGTATATGTATTTTGGGACCAGGGAGGAAATACCCTGCATTTACACATATTTACTTAGGACGCGATCCAGAATCAAACTTCAGTGGGATATGGATTGCAGCATACTGAACTTGCAGTCTTATGACTGCACCTTTTTTAAAGGTAAAGGTTCTCCTTGCTCGAAAGCCAGTCGAATCCAACTCTAGGGTGTGGTGCTCATCTCCATTTCCAAACTGAAGAGCCAGCACTGTCCGAAGACATTTCCACTGTCATGTGGCCAGCATGACTAGATGCTGAGGCGCATGGAACTCTGTTACCTTCCCACTGAAGTGGTACCTATTTATCTATTTGCAATTTCTTGCTTTTGAACTGCTAGGTTAGCAAGAACCCAGAATTTGGAATGTGCGGTCCTTGGGTTTGCTGAAGTTTGGGAAAGGGTGGCTCAGAAATTTGTAATAAACGAAAGACAAGGTTTATATGGCCCAAGGGCAGGGATGCTGAGCCATGCTGAATGAAGATGCTGATTTTAGAAAAGCCTTCCCAGATGTGTTCTGGTTTCTAAGTACTGATTATAAACGACACCTTTATTTTCAGGGTTTCTTCTAAAACCATGTTGATTAGAAAATTGCTTTTTTTAAAATTAGAAGTTTAGGTTCTTTAAGGTGCCACAGTAATCACAAGATGGTATTCAAGCCAGGCTTCCTATATGCCTGCTACAGGGGAGATTTTCCACCCCCAGTTTCCATTATGAGCTGGCACTCTGGCGCTAGTGGGGGGAGGATTTTAAAAAATCACTGTCAGCAACAGCAGTACATCACTTCCATGGAAAACCTGGAAGTGATGTCATGTTGCTCTAGGAATCTCTGGAAACTCTATGGTAAAACACTGGCTGGGAACCCTAACAAAAGCCCTTCTATTCAATCATTCTTTCCCCTATAGCAGCCAATCACATGCTCCTAGAAAGCTTATTACAGAGCACAAATGCTCCCCCAGTTTTTGCCCCCCAACTGCTGGTATTCAGAAGTACACCGCCTCTGTATGTGGAGGTTCCATTTAGTCATGATACTTAATAGCCACTAGTAGCCACTGAGGGCCCGTATCTCCCATGAAGTCGTTGAATTCCCCCTTTAAAGCCGTCTCAGCTCATAGCAGTCATTACTTCTTCAGACAGTGAAATTCAAATACCCAACATTGTCTGAGTATTTACCCAAATTTTTGGATAAATACACACAATATTTGTATTATTAGGATAGCTCTCCTTTCCTTTAAAACAAAACCTGTTCATATTGTTTTATGTTAACTATAATTATCTAGAAATTATGAATCCTATGTATATAGATAATGATTTTGTACAATTCCTATCTAAGTACATGTAACTTTTGAACCTTTTGAATGTGGGAGTGTAGGAAAAAAAAATATGTAGGGGAAATAGTACAAGGGTGCAAACGAACTGTTTCAGTGTTTTGTAAACATGCACCTCCAAATATGCAATGATAAAACATGGACATACGTTAAGATTTTTCTTCTTTGTGGCCTAGCTTGAGACCTCGTGCTGAGGATGACCTCTCCCATCAGAACCAACTTTGCTCAACTAGAGGAAAAGACAAAAACAAAATAAATAGATTCAGAAGCAACAACTCAAAGATGCTGTTTTTAGACAAACGGGTGCAATTAACCAACCCAACCCTTTATTTAAAACAAAAGTTAACTTTGCTGCGTAGCTGTATTTAATTTGCGCTTTATATCCTACCTTTCCTATTGAGGACAAGGTGGCTTTAGATGACCACAGGCCAAATAACAGACTGTTAAAAGATAATACAAATCACGAGAGCTTTCAAAGGAATCAAAGTTGGGTTGACCGCAGGCCAAAAATTGTTAATATATCTTCCGATTAAAATCTGCCCTGCCCCTCCCAAGTGTTCCTGGTTGTTATTGGAACACCTGACATTAATCTAATTTTTGTCTGTCTCCCTGTTCTTCCTTAGCCTATATATCTGAAGGAGCACCTCTTCCCACAGGTATATTTTGAGTGCCATGTACATAAGCTGCTTCCAGCATTATTTAAAAATTAAGAATTCAGGCAATCAACCTTTTTAAGTACATAAAGATTTTAAATATGGTCTCTTCTGGGGTGCCCCAGTAATAAGGAATTCTCTTCCTAAGGGTGCTTCTCACATCATGGAAAGCCTTCCCATACAGCAGCTTTTGATTATTATTTATTTAGTATGTTTTAATGTCACACTTCCTTCGAGGAGCTACCATAAGTTTCCACCTCTTCTGTTTTATCCTCACAAAGACCCTGTGAGGTAGGTTAGGCTGAGGGAAGGGAGGCAGGCCTAAGGTCACCCAGCAAGCTTCACGGCAGAGTGGGGATTTGAACCATGGTCTCCCAGATCCTTGTCCGGTTTCCCAACTACAGTATCTACTGGCTAAGAACATAAGAGAAGCCATGTTGGATCAGGCCAGTGGCCCACCCAGTCCAATGCTCTGTGTCACACAGCAGCCAAAACCCAGGTGCCCTCAGGAGGTCCACCAGCGGGGCCAGAACGCCAGAAGCCCTCCCACTCTTGCCCTCCCACAAGAATACAGAGAATCACTACCCCAGATATAAGAACGTAAGAGAAGCCATGTTGGGGGACGTTAAAAATACTTTACTTTGTTTGGATAACTATTAAGGGTTGAAATATAGAAAGGTTCGAATTGTATAAAGTAAGATTGTTACCTTGAAACGTAAAATGAAAATGTTAAAGAAAAATTGAATTATATAATGAGCGGGTAGGGAGAAGCATTGCGGAAAGCCACCAAAAGGGCGGGGGGAGGAGATAAGAAAAATAGATTTGGAATTAAAGGAATATAATTTAATGTTGAATATGTTATATCCAAAATAAAAGTTTTTGAAAAGAAAAAGAGAGAAGCCATGTTGGATCAGTCCAAAGGCCCATCCAGTCCAACACTCTGTGTCACACAGTGGCCCAAACCCAGGTGCCATCAGGAGGTCCACCAGCGGGGCCAGAACGCCAGAAGCCCTCCCACTCTGGCCCTCCCAAGAACCAAGAATACAGAGAATCACTACCCCAGATATAAGGACGTAAGAGAAGCCATGTTGGGGGACGTTAAAAATACTTTACTTTGTTTGGATAACTATTAAGGGTTGAAATATAGAAAGGTTCGAATTGTATAAAGTAAGATTGTTACCTTGAAACGTAAAATGAAAATGTTAAAGAAAAATTGAATTATATAATGAGCGGGTAGGGAGAAGCATTGCGGAAAGCCACCAAAAGGGCGGGGGGAGGAGATAAGAAAAATAGATTTGGAATTAAAGGAATATAATTTAATGTTGAATATGTTATATCCAAAATAAAAGTTTTTGAAAAGAAAAAGAGAGAAGCCATGTTGGATCAGTCCAAAGGCCCATCCAGTCCAACACTCTGTGTCACACAGTGGCCCAAACCCAGGTGCCATCAGGAGGTCCACCAGCGGGGCCAGAACGCCAGAAGCCCTCCTACTCTTGCCCCCCAAGCACCAAGAATACAGAGCATCACTACCGCAGATATAAGAACATAAGAGAAGCCATGTTGGATCAGTCCAAAGGCCCATCCAGTCCAACACTCTGTGGCATACAGTGGCCAAAACCCAGGTGCCATCAGGTCCACCAGTGGGGCCAGAATTCCAGAAGCCCTCCCACTCTTGCCCCCCAAGCTGTCTTATTATAAACTGATGTGCTAATTGTATGGGGTTTGTGGTTATTGTCGTTTTTTTATCTATTGTGTGTGTGGTTTTTATCCTGTCATTATATTCTGTATTTGTAACTTTCTTGCAATTACACATCTCACACAAAGAAAGGTGGGGTATATAAACAATCCATACAGCACAGGAATAAATACAAACAGCCAACAGTTATTTATGAGTTACCAAAAACTTTGTCACCAGCCAAGATAAATGAACATACAGATAGTACTCAGTGTGGGTTTTGGATAAAATACCGTTTCATACTATACACATCCCAAATCTAGAAGGCATTATTATTATTATTATTATTATTATTATTATTATTATTATTATTATCTTGGCAACAGTTATAGATTTTGTCACAAGGTTTATTTTTTAAGTTCTTTCTCTCTCTCTCACACAATTTTGAATTAAGTTTGTTCATGCAGTTCTCAGAATTCTAGAGTCAATCGGCAGTTTGCGATGAAGAAGAGATCTCTTACCTGTCCTTCAAGCCACTTACATTTTGGATATGCAACCATGGCAACTGCTCATACAAACCAGAGATTTCAGTTTTTGCATTAACAAATAGGCATGCTGAACTGATGGGGGGGGGATACACACGTCATTGACTCTCAAGCGGCAACCGGTTGTCTCAGTGAAACATTTTATTACATGATCGCAGG